ATGTTATACATCTGTGAGGGTCACGCAGATAATATGAGATGAAACGTCGCATTTTCAACTTCCAAGAGCGGAGTACAGTTGCATCTGGAATGAATAATTCTATACCCACACTGTCTGATACTTGTCATGTATTGCACGTGCATGGGTAGTCAGTCCTGAACCATATTATCTCCCTTCCCCATCCCTAACATTGCAATGCTATAGATCCAAGTAAAGCAAGTCTAGCTTTTCACGGATTCAGAAATCCCCCATCTCACTAGGGCTCATTTTAAAATTTTAAATAGAGATGTTTGCTACTAACAAAATTATATATTTTCAGAGACAAAGCGTCAGTCAATCTGGTGCATAGGCTACAAAATACTGGTTGCTTTTCAGGCGTGTTTTTGGGTAGCTTTTTCCTTAAATTGTTTTTAATAGTCCATGTTTTTTCAGTTCCATAAAAAAGACATCCAATCAGTGTGACCTAAGCATAAACAACATTTACTACAACTGTTAGGTACATTGTCAACCTGTTGAGGCTTATTGGCACATGTTCATGACGCCGAGTATATTTCCGGTTGGTCACTTTTCAAAGAACGATTTTTGTGTAGAAAAGACTTAAAATACAGCAGGCCCATTCAACAAGTCTGCAGAGATAGGAAAATCTGTTCTGTCCCAGAATCTCCGATAGCTATAATGCAAGAAGCGCCAGTAAAATGTCCTCTGCTCGACCAGGCCGCTTGAAGCAATGAGAATCAAGACAGAAGACGCAAGGATACACGTCAGCATCCAGAAGAGTGTCATGGCGCCATAAAATAGAGGTCTTGTTATTGGAAAGTGCTTCATGTAGATCAACTGAGGTCAAAATTGTGTTCAATAAAGATGATATGTCCGCCCGTGCCATACAGACTGGAATCAATGGATGCTTTGTTTGCAGATGAACGGTTTCGAGATGCTTGAGTTAAGCAATGCAGTTTCTAGACAGGATTAGTGTCGGTATCAAAGGCAACACCGTTCCCTGTTTCCATGTTTAGGATTCCTACACAAACTTCCAGGTATACAGTTTCTCTATTTGGAAGTATTCTTCACGGTCTGTTTGATGTTTCACACCGCACTCGACGATATTCCAGCTATATGACGTCGATCTGTTAATAATCTGGACCAGACAATCCAGTGTTTAACATAATGAGCATCAATCCACGCATTTGGGATACGATGATCAACCAAGTCACCGAGTCTGACCACTCAAACCATTCATTTAGTCGCTGGGGACATATTTTTACCAGGAATCTCCGTGGATAGTTTCTCTGTAAACATTAGAAAATGTTCGTGGTTTGATATAAATATGACTTGAAAGCGTTGGTTCCACAGTTCAGAGTAATACAAGGAGAAGAAACATTTAGATGTAAGATACGGTTGGTCCACTTGCTTTAACTGAAGCAACTGCTTGTCCAAACATTATTCAACAATGATAATACAAATTATAATAATTATTCATTTTTTCAGATAATATTATAAAATAAAAACACATTTCAAAATATATCAAAACACATTATACAACGTTAATAATACCAAATATAATAATTATTTCATTTTTTATTCATGATAAAAAATAAAACAAAAAAACATTCAGCATGAACGATACAAGCTATAAAATATATTATTAATACGAATGAAGAAAAAATAAAGACATTATTCGACACGCACAAGTTTAAATTCATGCTTGCCCTAACCAATCTAAATCATTGATAGCCTGAATTGGTGTGTTTTCTTGACATGCGCTCATATTTGTCAGAGGCTAACTTCCTCCGCCGTTGCGCTTAATTACTGCAATTACTGCCACCATGTTCCGGGGAATATCGTCATGTGCAATAAAAAAAAACCCGCATTGTTTATTGTTAAGTGTTAGATATTGATTGGCGTCAACTGAGCTTCAAGTTTTGTTTGTTTAACTGTATAAACATAGCGACACCTCCATGGGAGCTCTTGATTGATGTCACTCGGCCTGTTGTTACAAAGGAGATTGGTCGTGACGTTGTATGGTGATGCGGTCGTCAGTGTCATGTCATCTATTATAGATAAGTATATAACGTCAACACAAGAGAATAACAAGTCTCAATTACCTGCCGAAACAGGTTCCATTCCAAATTATACGAATAGATCACTGAAAATCAGTTAAGACACCGGGTGTTCGCGAAATGGTAAGCATGTCCTACTTTTCCAGTAGCCACCGCCGCACGCATTTGTTGTTTGTTTGTAGGCTAATGCCAAACTACAGCACTCCTACGACGGCGCTTTGTATGTCTCAAAGTCCTTGAACCATATTATTTTCCCTTCTGTCCAGCCCTTTCTGTAATGCAAAAGCCCTAAGTGAAGCAAGTCTAGATTTTCCTCAGAATCTCCCATGTCACTGAGAGTCCTTTTCAATTTAAATGGAGTTATTTGTTTCTATTATAATTACATATTTTCAGAGACTAAAATTTAGTCTAGACGGCGCCTTGTAAAGAATCGGGTCCTGGCCAGACACTCAAGTGATAGTGGACCAGACAATGTTGTTGTTGTTTGTTGTTTCATTAGGTGTTTAAGAGGTCGCCTTCTGCCTAGGCAATTTCGGCTGACCTGTCCCTCTTTGGGACTCCTGTGTGTGAGAAGGGTTCACATATCTATTGTGAGTTCGGTGTTCACATAATTTCTGTTTTTGCATTGATATGATTTCTATTTTCTTATATTGATATGATTTCATTTTTATCCTTGGCTGCTCTGTTTATATACGTTCGAGCAGCTGTCCATCTCTCAGAAATAGAGTTAGTTTGGCCTTCGCTATTGCATCTCTTGGCTTTAGGAGATCTATGACAGATAGCGGATCTAACTGCAATTCTTGTTTTAACCTAGCCCGGGCTGGGGCATGGTCTTGACATTCTAGTAACAGGTGGTCAATGGTTTCAGCCTGATTGCAAGATGAACAAACCTTGTCATAGTGCTTTTTGTGACCAAGTCTGAGGCGTGAGATAGCAGTTTCAATTTTCCTTTCATTTGAGTATGAGTTTGGCTTTTGTTGGACCTTGGGTTGAATTTTGTATAGCCATCTGCCGATCTTACTTGCGTCCCATTGGGTTTGCCATCTTTTTGCTATGGAGGCTTTGATTTTGCTTTTTATCTCTAGTTTACTAAAGGGAATAGGCTGTATATCCGCTTTGTCTAGAGCTAGCTTCGCCAGTGAGTCTGCTTTTTCATTTCCATGAATATCTATGTGAGAGGGGATCCAACACAGCTCCACCTGTTGCCCTTGGTCCGATAGTTTTGTATATTCGTATAGAATATTGTTGACTGTGTTTGGCCTGGAGTTTGAGTTTCTTCCACTGATGGCCTGAAGTGCACTTAGCGAGTCTGATAGGACGACTGCCTTTGCTTCCGGGAGTTCCGGTATGAGTTTGAGTGCATGATGAATTGCCTCCAATTCAGCCGTGAATACTGACTGACCATCGGGCAAGCGAACTGAATGTGCTTGGGACCAGACAATCCATTGACACTCTTCTTATACAAGTAGATATAGCCTAGCCCCAAGGCTGTACTGAAAGAAAAGTCCATGGATGTGTAGTAATTCTACCCTCCTAATAGACAAGTCTAGACAGTACTCCAGTCTCTCATAAGGACAACTTGTTCTTATTATTTACATAATCTAGAAATTATGATTTAAACGAATAACTATTGCCTTAGAGACTTGTGCAAGTCTAATGTTCATAGGATAAACTACGTTTACTGTAGTTTACTGTATTCACACGAGATTAATGTCAGTAAGAAATAGATGCTTCTGAAATCTAAATGATTTCGTGTTGACGAGATCCTAATATACATCAGAGATTAGTCAGTAGCATTTCGCTCCTCATACGAACTTGACAATCGACCTGTGGGAAATCAAAATTAACTTGCAGCTCTCATAACTCAATCAACACCCCCAAATGGGGATGGGGACATACTGTCTCTTAACAGTGTCGGGATCCGCAGCTCACCAATATATTTATTTATTTTAAAAATAGGTTCAGTAAGGGATACAAGGAGGCCTACATGCATGCATCAACTGCGTGTCCACGTCGGAATGGAAACAGTTCTCTCTAAGAAACGTTGATTCGTCTGATTTTGGTTTTTTTCCGTATTTAAACGAACAACTTTTCAAGATGACGCAACTGTCGAGACTTGGGTGTATTACACATCCTTCAATTTCGTATGCCTACAAACCAAAACCTATACCATGCATGACGCACGTGTTAAGACATTGTTTGGGCCCCCGGGTTACACTTACAATTAGCTTCCGAACTAGGGGCCTCCGTAAACATCTTGTTTATCAATAAGAATTGTGAATGTGCATGTTATTTTATTTTTTTTAAATAAAAGATGAGTAAAGTAGGTGTGAGAAATAATCCTGCAAATTAAAATTAATGACTTAAACAACAAAATATAATTTAATGCCAAATTAAAATATATTAGAATATTTCAATATGTACTTTCTGTTTATGTCGAGTTTGGAAGTATAAGTTAATATTTCAATGCCTGATGTATCTTATCATATTCGATCAATCAAGTTTATTCTGAAAACCAATATTCATTGGTACATGAATATGCACAATATAATTTTTATACCAAATTTATATCAAGATGGCAGATATATGCAAAATGCTCCATTTGATGGTGTGTTTTTTCTCTAACTTGATAATATATAAATATCTGCAGATACACAGATGAGTTGTCTCCCTTAGATAAGACAGCCTTTTTCGACAGGTGTCCGTTTCGTTGACATGGTAGCTTCAACGCGATTACCAAGATGTAGTTCTAAAATATTTTATAAACGAGAATTTTCACTCTTGAGTGAACTCCAAAGGAGCAATAAGCCGGCTTTGGCGAGCTGGGAGGACATTCATAACACTCGGTTTACGCGCCACTAACAGAATACCATAGTAACTGGTAAATATTCACCGCGGAGCGATACATTGTCATGTCAAAGGTCATATAGCACTAACGTGATTGGCTGTAACTAAATGTAATGGCGTGACACAGTTTAGTAAAAATGTGAGGAAGAAACCGCGGAGACTCGAATGTATGCAAGTAGCATATATGTGTCATTTCCTGTCCACTATCTATCCCAGACCACACGTACACAGGACTTGACAATATAGAAGAAAGTTGTCCTTCCCATTGACTGAAGCGAAGTGAACCGGCACGCATTAAGCTAAATGATCCCGAGACGTAATCAGCAAGCTTATTGCCGTCGCAGTGTTGTGAATTTCAAGGCTCGTGCATGCTTCTACCTGTCTGAGATTCTGAGCCATTGTAAACATTGATTCAAATGGAATGTTATTCATGAGGCCAGAAGGAGTGTGTGCTTTCAGTGCTGTTTGGACATTCGGATCTTACTTACTCTCGCCTTTTCTCAGAAGAAATTGCAAGAGTTGTCAACAACAGATGAATGACATCTAGGAGTAGGATCCCCACGTGTGGATTGTGTGTGTTTCAGTGGAGGAATTTCTTTATCTATCTGTTCTTGATCTAATGTTTAGTTCTATATCTAGTCCAGTGTTTACAAAGCCAGTATCGGCGTGAGTATGAGGCTGATAGAGCGACCCACGAGGATTTACCTGTGAGAAAACCCAAGCTTGAAAATTTTGAAAATGGCAGAGGACAGGGCCTACATGGCGAACCCTCTTGTAGTATGGGTGAGTGCTTAATGTTGAGTCTCTTTACTCGTATCACATTTGAAATGACATATATTCATTTTGTTCTTATTAACTTTATAAAGCACGCCGATGCACGACTCATATGAGTCTATTTAACTTCTACTGAATAAAGTAGACCTAATACGACAAATCTGTTGGAACAATTTTAACATCTAGACTCTACTTTACTAACAGAGACCTATAAAGTATATGATGGTGATGTTTATTATATAGATCTAGGCCCTATTTGGCTTTCCACTGAATTAAGATTAATTGTTTGCATTTGAATTCAGGTGGAAACTTTTCGAGACAATGACAGCCCTCCTCTCAAGTACAAGGATTTATACGATGGAGTTTTCCTGTGTGATGTCATGCAACGGATGTGAGTAGAAACAAAGCCTACAAAATGTCCATTAGTAGCAATGTCAACTTCACTTAAAATTGTGTCGTTTTTTGTTTGCAGACCATTCTTTCATATGCCCTTCTGTGAGTAGAAAAGCACTCCTGAAAAAAATGCAACATTATTTGTCCTTGGTCAAGTTTCTGTGGATTATTGAGTTGATCACATCAGCTATTCCTCAGATAGGATAAATAATTGATTGTAAGGTGAAAAGAATGGTGCTAGCAGGTGCTATGTGACTGAATATTTCTCAACTGAGCTTCATACCTGATGTGGCCTTTTATTTCTTGTCTGGTATATTATTGACCTGTATTAAGTTCTATTAACTCATGCTGAAACATCACACAATAGCACTATGTGAACAATAGTTATACTCTCTGTGGTAAATAGATAAAGGAATAGCAACCATATATTGTTTGATAACATTTTGTGTCACTACTGGATACAGAGCATACGCAGAGTAATTACATTTTTTAATAATTGTTTTGATGTTAGTGGTTATGCAATGAAATAATGGAAAAAATTAATCGATTCTTTTTTTTTTTGAAGTCCTGCAATGTTTAAAGATTTATTTGACTTGTTACAATTGGTTCCATCATCAGCAGTCTGAGATTTTGCCATTAGTCCAGAGCCCACGTCTAGTAAAATTCTGTTTGGTCTCATAAGCTCACCAAAAATTAGTACATATAATTATTATAACACTAAAATCAATAGAAAGTGATGTGAGACCTGTAAAGATCCGGGGAAAGAATAGGTCTTCAGCAACCCATGCTTGCCGTAAAAGGTGACTTTGCTTGTCGTAAGAGGCGACTAACAGGATCGAGTGGTCAGGCGCACTGAACTGGTTGATGCATGTCATCAATCCCAATTGCATGGATCGATGCTCAGGATATCAATCACTAGATTGTCTGGCCCAGACTCGATTATTTACAGACCGCTGTCATATAGCTGGAATATTGCTGAGTGCAGCGTTAAATAACAATCAAACAAGAAAATGATGTGAAGAGCCATTTTGCGGCTAATAAACCTAAGTATTTGGGGCACAGACTGCATCAGTTGCTTATCAAATTACAGATATTATTATTTAGTACAGCTTCTGATGCCTCTAAATAAGAAAAGAAGTCCCCCTGACCTACCTGCCATTGCTCATGAAAAACAAGAACCTTTTCTCACATGGCTTATTATCAATTGATTCGGAAGTTAAATTGAAGCAATTTAGTTGTCAAACCGGTTAAGTGGAACTATTATTTTAATTCGATATTCTGGTCATTCTGTGTCCATGTATTTAGCCACAGGCACCTCAATAAGTTGGATTTAGCTAGCCTTGCATCATTAACCATCATCTGTGTCTGCATATTGGTCACACTTCACTGAACACACACAATGGTGAGGAAGTGTGAGGGTGGGGGAAGGTAGGGAAGGGGGTGTTTGTTCCCAGGGGTATTGTTATCTCCAACGGGGTAAACTGCAGTCAGCATGTTCGCACTTCACAAAGGTCAATGTCACCCATGGTACGTGTCAGCGTACCTTTAGTTGCACCTGTGGTTAGGTAATTACTTGATTACAGGTAAGAACATCAAAGGCTTATGTGGACAGGTAGAGCGTGAGGGGAAGAAACTCAGGAGGGGAATACTCGAGATATGGGGGATCAGTGGGTTTATTTGCACAAATGAGAGGACATTGGAATTTCTTCATAATAAAGAAAGATCTGACATATCGGACTGCTTGTTATCATGTCAGCAGTGTTGGGTGTTTGCTGGTGCTCTCATGCTGCATCTGGTGACTGATTGAGCAAGAATGGGCCCCAAGATGGACAATTTATGGTGTACTTCTAAGGCCAGGCTTGTATTGTTTGGTTTACAGATTTTGACAGGGAAATATTTGGTCTGTAGGTTGAATTTATTTTAAATGCTTTGTGTAATGTTTCCACTGACGACACTCAGTACATCATGTTCCATTCTGTCAATCAGTGGAATTTGGATAGCCTTGCATCAATACTATCATAAGTCTTTCAGGATTTGTTTAATCATCTTAAATTTTGATTTGATTTGAATTGGTAGGTGATAAAAGAATGTTAAAAATCTTAACCTGGTGTGGGTCCTCATAAAACTAAAATCTGACAGCAGCATTTCATTGTCATTTTTATTGTCAGACCATTCTTTGCCATTGGCGGTATATTATAAACCCTTGTCGTTCGGATGTTTTTTTTCTTCTGAATTTTCGATTTCTTATTTTTGAGGTTGTCTGATGTGTAAACCAAGAAAAAATAAATGTAAGACCTCGGCGGTTCTGTTTAAATACAGAAAGAGTGTTCAAAAAGAGTTGAATCTGTCTGGACTAATATCCCTTCTATGCGGGAATATAATTTTAAAAGGGTGTGTCCCAGTTGGCTAAACTTGAAGTGTTTGTAGAGATCGTTCAGAATATATTTCATTTGTGAACATTTACTTTAACATGTTTAAGAAAACACACCAAGTAATCAGACAGTTGATTCATCTTGTTCCAACTTCCAGTTTGAGGCATGCCTCATTGCATGTCCGACAAACAGTATTGGCTGCTGGATGGTTTCGTTATGGAAGTTTGTTGTGTGTACAGTAGCGACTGTTTACACAAAATGTGTTGTGTTTACGACTTTCATTGTTATTATAATCTCTGAAACAATCACCGACAACTGTCAGCTGATAAGATATTTCATTGCAGTATTATTTCCTTGTTTCTTTAGAATACATTTAGAAAACTGTCAAGTAGAACATCAGCAGGATTTGTTTGTTCAGTATTTACTCTATAACCAGAAGTGTAGACTAAGAAAACTGACAGTTGGTGTCATCAGTTCACGTTGAATTGAAGTTTTGAACAATTAATATTTGTTTGTTTGAAACTAGGATGAATGATACATTGATGCACCGATTAATTGCAAAGGTTTTGTAAAATGTGATACACATCAATACAATCTTGCTGAACCAGTTTTTATTTTATTTTTTCAATGTTTGTCTTCAGGAAGGTTCTTACACTTACGTGCAGGCAAGGTATTAAATGGAACTATATCTACAACTATAGTTCTTGTCACTTGAATTAAAATCACGATATCAATTATTAAATAATGAAGATAGCTGCCAAGTGCATTTAGTTTAGAGACCTAGACAAATCCCTGCATTCTCAAATACTGCCACCTGTGATATAACCTGAGTCCTGCAGTGTGTGTTGTACAGAACACCTGGAAGAATGGTTCAATGTTTAGTCAGTAGTGGGCGTGACAAACAGTCCTTTATTTTCCCGTCCAATTATCAGGTCTGTGTAATTATAATCTTTGTCAGTGCAGTATTGCAAGTGAATTATTATTACTGAGGGATAAGGTCTTTGTTTGACTCCAAGGTGAGATGGAAGATAATCATGGTTGTGTTGGTGAATTAATGAGTTGGGAGGTGTCTGTGACATTGATGTACTGGTCAGTGGTGATGTAAGTGACGCCGGCTCCTCATCAGTATGGCCACATTAACCCTTGAGGGATTCCAGGGAAGAATACATCCCCAGTGTTCCATGCTTGTTATAAAGAATGTGGTGAAAATGAATGTGGTGTGATGAAAATCCAGTTGTCATTCACTGACTGGGGATTACATTTGCACTGAGATCTGCTGACAATAATGTCAAGAGATCGGGTCAGGTTAGGGTTGGTAGACTCGTATGTTTTGGCACAGACTGTGCATGGCATCATGTCTGATGACTTGGATCGTTGCTCATGCTTTCAGTCACTGGTTTGTCTGGATTGGACTGGGTTATTTAAAGGCTCCTGTGTAAGGCTGAAATAATGTTGGTGTTGATTGACACTCACGGACTCTCTCTCATGAAGTCCGGAATACGTCTTCAGCAACCCATGCTCGTCGTAAGTGGCGACTATGCTTGTCGTAAGAGACGACTAGAAGGATCAGGTTTTCAGGCTCACAGACTTGGTTGATGCATGTCATCGTATCCCAATTGCGTGGATCAATGCTAATGATATCAATTACTGGATTGTCTGGTTCAGACTCCATTATTTACAGACAGTCGTCATATATCTGGAACATTTGCTGAGTGTGGCGTTAAACAACAAACAAACAAACAGTCTGTCTCTCTGCATGGTATCAGAGGATCCTACATAACTGATTGATATTATTCAAAGTGCTCCAGTACCTGGTACAACTTTGTAAAGTGTGTAATGGTTCCTAAGGAACTGTAGTCAGCTTTGGAGAAATAAATCCTTACTATACTAACGCTAGATGGCTAGATGATACTAGGCTAGATGGTTTCTCTCCAGATCTAGTTTTGTAGCATAGTTGACTAGTTCTGTCAGGGATTTATCTAGAATTCCAAAACTGGCAGGCAAATTGGGAAAATATTGTGATATTTTCAAAGTTGGAATAATAACATTCTTATTTTCATGAAATGTGAGGAATTGGGAATATGGCAATACAATTTAGGAATATTTACTGTCATTTGCCGCAGTCTTGGGGCCGATTATCATCCTCTGAGCAGCTCTATGTAAATACCTATCTGTAGTTGTCTCTGTACACGTGGTACAAGAAAGTTCTCATTGTACAGAAATATTTTTTGTTATCTTTTAATATTATATAGCATGGTGAAATAACTTCATCAACTGAATACATGATAGATTTGAGTTTCCTTACTGGCAGGATTCCTGGTAATATATATCTTAGGCCCCCATTAACCTGTGCTAGGCATAAGAGGCAACCATGCAGATTTGGTGACTTGGTTGATACTAGCTTGTCATCGTACCCCATTGGCATGGATCATTGTCCACACTATCGGTCACTGAATTGTCCTGTCCACACTCAAATATTTGCAGGCTAGCATCATCATTTTGGTATATTGATAGTGCAGTGTTAAACAACAAACAAAAGTGTCCTTGTACACTTGTTCCACAAGGTGATCTACAACTGTAAGCACGCCTACAATGATCATAGCGCAATACAGTTTGTTTTAAAACA